GTACCGCCGCAACCGCTATGTCCCTGCATTTTAAGTCTGTAATATCTTCGAAAATATTCATTTAAATTACATGCTGTAAAGGGCCATATTGATCTATATTAAATGCACAATGTATTTAAAAGTACTTAATTGGATAAGGATTAATGCTGTATTGCTTAAAATCGCTTCGTAAATAAGTCATTATTTCTTGTAAAAAGTAAAAGATAAAAAAATACCATCGCGGACTTTTTTGTAGAGCTTTTTAAGGTGTACAATACTGTAGTATATTATTTTGATCTATCTCGTAAGGTTCAACCAGCGTTTGCAATGCAAGCGCAAAAAAATGTATTTATTTACGACATCACATTACAAACCTCTAAAATGACCAGTGTTTCGCCACTATATTATGCATGTATTATACATACAAACCTTCCTCTTGAATTACTCTATCTATTAAAAAAAAACGCATTAAAATCCGTTGCGTAGTTTTAAAGATCTAAGCCTACATAGGGACAGACAGCGGGGAAATGCGTTGCATGATTTCGTTACATAACAACTCATATGAAACGAACTTACCCTATCGTGCGTAAAGAAGTTTCATTTCAAAAAATTGGAAGAAAAATTAGTTTTATGTGGTCGTCCGGCACATCAACTCGGCCTTCTGATATAAGTGAAACAATTTATTAAATCAAAGTAAACATGCCTTTATTGGACATATCATACATAAATGAAAATCAATAAAAATAAGCACAGCGCGAGCGAAGCTGTGGGTAATGTAGTAATGCAATAAGTACTTATAAGTCTAATAAATGCAATATAAAGCTTTTGAATGGCGTTAGGTGTTATTCTCCGTTCAAAAATTTTTAGGGTTCGGTCAGTTTAGGACAGTTTTCAGAGAAGTAGATGATATCTTTAGATACACCTTGTTGAAAAAGTATATTCCATACGTTACTAAATTATCGATAGAAATGTAAAAAAATGCGAAATAAGATATATTTAAATAAACGTAGGGACTCGCAAAAATCGGTGAATGTTTAAGAACTTTCTTAAATTTTCAAATGATAATTTGCCGCATTCCGCACTCCTGTTTCATGAAATAGCAGTGTGTCTTTTTGAGCAAGGCGACATTAATTATAGTAAGCTATAAATAGTCATAAGGAAGGTTCTTGATTAACGATGTGATGGGTTACTAAACATCTTTGGGTACGTGCTTATAACATGTGGATGTACATGTTACTGTGTCTGCTTCAAGTCCATTTACAGCAGTATGTAATTGCACAATATGTAAATCAATTCAACAAAAATGTTTAATTTGTGAGTTTTGGAAAATAAAGTTTCCACCAAGTACATGCTTATAAATATCCGTTAATATACTAGTAGTATCCCCTGTGGTGATAATCGATCTTTTATTTACTATTTTTCATGGTAGAGTTTATTTAAAATGACATGAACTAAAAGGCTTTGGATTGCGCAACGACAAAAAATCTCCCTTTCATTGATTTCTACCTTTTACAGACACTGGCCATCACTTTTATAGATTATCTAGAGCTGAACCGGGCAAACTCGGCTCTTTTGACTCCCGAGTGCTCCTCTGGTATAGCCAAGTAGCTCCTCATTGTTCCTGCGAGTGCGAGTGAGATGATTCTTCTTATCTCTTCCATTTCGTAGATGAGTACCCTCTTCCATAGCCGAACCCAATAGTATTGAGAACGCAGGCCGGCATGCTATCCTTGATCTGCAAGACGATCATTAGAAAATTTTCGTAGATATTAGTTAAGTTACGAGAGAGGTTTCGCTCGTCTACGGGATGAAAGGGCTTGATATGGGAGTGGAAGGGAGAAAAAAAGAGAAGGCAATATGGGTCATTACTGCTTACTCTCTCTTACTCATTGAAGGGTATGGAGTGACCCAAACTAACCTCGAGTAACGGCTCCTACGAAGTTAAAGTTTGCCCGGCTCTGATCTAGAGCCCCATCTCTTGTTGTATAAGGCAACACATGGTTAAAATCAATAAAGTTGCAGCCGAGTTAATATATTTCTTAAATATATAATCTAAACGCGATAAAGGCCACTCCTCGCATAACTGAAGGATCATGTATTCTAAACTACCTATACAAGACCTTCGTTGCTTGAGTTCGACTCTCGCTTGCTCAGTTTTGTATTTAATATACTTTGGCGATAGCTTTTCTGTATAAATCTCTAACAGTTGACAAACACCGTATCTGTACATGTAATTCTTATGACTTAGCTACGTCCTCGTATGGTTAATGCAGCATCATTAGCTAGAGCTCATCTCAACGTGACATTTATTTGACATTTTGCCAATTAATACGATTATAATCAATCCTGGTTGGTTTTAGATGACTGCTCCTTTCACAACTATAAATAAATTTGTTTTACGATTTTTAACTTCTATCTTTTCATCCTCGAAATAGCTGAGTGATAAGTAGCTTTAAATAAATTAGTGTTAGCATTTGTGTTAATGATTAAATTCTTGTCGAACTACTTCTTCAAATCGTATAAAGATCGTTAAATTTATTTCATCCTAGCTAGCATGTTATATAATGTGAATATTTTCGAAAAATGCATTTGAACTAGAAAAAAATTGACAAAGTAAATAATAGTATCTGTTAATTCATCATTATCACAAGGTCGTCAGTCTTAAGACTGGTTGGACACACGCCTCCACTTTTACCTATCCTAATGAGCTAATCTTCGCATTTCCCTAAAACTAGAACATCGCACATCCTAACTGTTTGTGAACAGTAATCTAATCCAGGTCTACTTCTACTTCTCTTAACTGCTGCTTCTGCTTCTAGTGTGTCTGTAAATAGTCCTTCATGCTTTAAAAAGTGTCCTACCAACCTATCTCGTCTATTTCTTATTGACTTCCATAGCGACCTCTGTTCTCCTATTTCTTGTAATAGCTTCTTATTTCTAAGCTTCTTCTTCCAAGTTGACGAGGGTTCCTTTGATAAAATTTCATGCTTAAAAGCGAATTCACACAGAATATTTTCTCTCGACACGGAGTGGCATGACTTAGAGGTTTAGGCTATTGCTTAGCATTTAGGAGGACGCTGGTTCAATTCCGGTTTCGTCTGCCTTGGTCCAGGTTTTCCTGAAGTTCCCTTGGATAACTTATGCAAATGCTGGGGCAGTAATATTCCACAGATAATCTTTCATTCTCTTCTGTCTTCATTTCGTCCGTCTCATCTTTCTCACCCGAACCACCACCCACCCATTGAAATACCCAAAAGGTTTTCCTTTTTTCTGGAATTTTGTAATGTATTCACCATAACCGCTATGTCTCGTTATACCAGATGTCGTTATAAACAATATCTACTGCATTTCAAGTGACAAAGTACACAATGTTGTTGAAATAAAAAAAATTAGACCCAAATTCCATTTTCCTCTTATTTTTGCATTTCGTCTTAATGATGTAGGGTATCTTCAAAGAATATATGTACCTCATCATCATCATCATCATCATAGGGTCGTCAGTCCTAAGACTGGTTGGACACGTACCTCCAGTCTTTCCTATCCTGAGCCAAACTTCGCATTCCCCCAAAACTAGAACAACCCAGATCCTTAACCATAAGATACCATAAAGTGGTCGTGGATGTTAATGATTTTGATACCATGATCTTATATACTCAATTTGGTTTTATTGAAGTTGTTTACAAGATAATGCTTCTTCCTTTTCTTTAAATTCAGTTCGTGACCTCTGCAGGTGTATAATATCGTATACATATTAATATTAAACGGGTGTCTGACGGTAAGTCCCTGTCTGTCGATAACCTTTAAACAATTGCAGAGGTAACGCCCTGTTGCCTGTCCATCCAGTCGTAATCGTCACACATAATCAGTTCGGCTTGGGCATTTATTATACGTACATGAATATTAACGATTATTTTTCGTGAATGGTTTCACAAAATGCACTTTAATTTATATATTTACGCGAGTACATATTCATCCAAAGACACATAGCTTACTTGATGTAAAAGTAACCACTCCACGTCGCCTGTAACACCTGGTTTTACGTAAGAAGACATCTGGTGAAATTTAGCCTGTTGTCTTATTAAAGTAGCTATATTAAATGAAACATAAAATGATTGAAGACTTAAACGAAGTTCCGATTAATCGAAAGTTGATTAAAAATCTCCACCTTTTCTACATGCATAAATACCTGATTTGTAGTCATCAATCAATGTAGATCATGATATCTGTTTAAAATATCTCTATCTTCTATCAAATAGTGTAAATAATGTTAGAACACATACGTATGTACAGCAGATATAGACGAGTATTTGCAAATAAATAATTGCAATTTTATTAAAACGATTACGTAACAGTTACTGAGCGGTCGTGGATGTTGATGACTTTGACCTGGTTTGAGCACAGACATAACATTGTGGAAAAAGAAAGACAACGAAATAGAAAATGTCGTTGACAGTGAAAAGAAAATCTGAATGTTAACATTAACATACTTGTCATAAACTTTCGTTTATATTCTCCAATTTACATGAGACAAGATTAAAGTTTGAGTGAACAATATCGTGTTTGTTACAGGTCCAGTATTGCAAGCTGAACGTGGATGTTTGTTGTAAAATACCAGACGCATCTAATCTTGTTACGCCAAGTGGTCCTGAAACTGATGATACGAAACCGGTATACGACACCACATATCAACAATCAAGTAAGTTTACGTCCTCTGGATCAACATCGTACACACCATCGAGCCAATATACACCCTCTGTATCAACTTCTTACACGCCATCCAGTCCATCTGGTTCAACGCCATTTGTATATTCTCCAAGTGGATCGAAAGAAAATTTACCGAGTCGACCAAGTACTACAGCCTCCACTCCAACTTCATTTGCGCCTTCCGGACCATCCAACTTATCTAGTTTTGCTAAAAACAAGGAATCTCTACCAGCATCCCAAATATCCTATGTTGGTGGCCTTGGATTGAGCCCTGGATCAATAGTACTAGTGAATGACGATAATCAAGCCAACGCTGATGTTTCATTTTCTGGCCAATCTGGTACAACACCGCGACCATTTAGCAAAGGCACTGCGGGTAGTCAAAATTCAGTATTTTCTTCTACTGTAAAAGGGCCACCATATTTGCCACCTTTTGGATCACCGACTCCATCAGTATCTACTGTTGACTTATTTGCCCCAAGTAAACCCGTTTCGCCCTACAAGCCAGCGCTTCCTTCAACGCCATCCCCATTTGGCGGATCTTCACAGCAGACTTTTGCAACTTCCTCTCCAAGACCATTTGCGCCACAGTCTCAGGGTCCTCCAAAGCCGTCATACGGACCACAATCGAAGCCAACACAACCTCAACTTCCTTCCACTCCAACATATAGTTTCCAGCCAAGACCCACATCACAATCACAAACACCTGGTAGTTCAACGTACTTTACTCAACCTCGACCAACGCAATCGCCCTATTCTCCCTCAAGTCCGTCATATGTGTCTCAACCTAAACCAACCCAGTCGCCCTATTATCCCTCAAGTCCGTCATATGTGTCTCAACCTAAACCAACCCAGTCGCCCTATTCTCCCTCAGGTCCGTCATATGTGTCTCAATCGCGGCCAACCCAATCGCCTTATTCTCCCTCGGTTCCGTCATATGTGTCTCAACCTAAACCAACCCACGGTTCCGTCATATGTGTCTCAACCTAAACCAACCCAGTCGCCCTATTATCCCTCAGGTCCGTCATATGTGTCTCAATCGCGGCCAACCCAATCGCCTTATTCTCCCTCGGTTCCGTCATATGTGTCTCAACCTAAACCAACCCAATCGCCCTATTCTCCCTCAAGTCCATCATATGTATCTCAACCTAAACCAACTCAACAACAGAGACCGTCAGGTTTACCACAACAAACACCATCTGTAATAAGACCCGTTCAACAACAATTTCCCACTACTAGACCACAATATGAAGAGCAACCCACTTCGGTTAATCAGCCACAACCTACACCTGCACAACCAGACAGGGAATATAACTACGGGGATAAATATTTACCACCTTATGCGCAACGGCCAGAGAGCAACAAACCACAACAACCAAGTAAACAACCAGAACAACCTGAATCATACCCTTCACAACCATCGTATAAACCTGGGTCCCAAAAACCAAGTTATCAACCGGAAGTTATTCAACCGTTACCTGGAGAATCACAGACTCCAAGACCATCTTTTGTACAGCAGTCGACCCCCACACCAAGTTATTCGGATCAGAGTTACACTTCTAAACCGTCTTATCCAACATATCAATCCAGTAAAGTAACTGGAAGTTATTTGCCACCTTCATCTACTCCGAAAGCGCCCTTCCCAAATAAGCCAGAACAACCCGAGAAATCAGGACGGCCAGAAAGACCTGGTTTTCCTACTCAGTCTTATCAGCCAAGTCAGCCAGGACAGTCTGGATACACGCCTGAACAATCGGAGTATCCAGAACAGCCAGATATAACAGGTCATGAGGAGTATGCGCCAGAATTACCTGGCCAGCCAGGGGTACCGGGTCAACCCGGACAGCCAGGACAACCAGGTATTCCGGGACAACCAGGACAGCCAGGTCAACCAGGGCAGCCAGGACAACCAGGCGCTCCTGGTCAACCAGGACAGCCAGGCTACCCAGGACAACAAGGACAACCTGGGCAACCGGGACAACCTGGACAGCCAAGCCTTCCTGAATATTCACCAGGACAACCTGGACAACCCGGACAACCCGGACGACCTGGACAACCCGGACAACCCGGACAACCTGGACATCCAGGGCAACCCGGTCAATATACACCTGGTCAACCAGGAAAGCCGGGATATCCAGGACAACCTGGGCAACCAGGCCAACCTGGACAACCGGGGCAACCCGGTCAATATATACCTGGCCAACCAGGAAAACCAGGACAGCCCTGCCAACCTGGAACAACAGAATGCACACTAGGACAACCCAGCCTACCTGAATATATACCTGGACAGCCCAGCAAATATACACCTGGCCAACCAGGAAAGCCTGCATATCCTGGAAAACCAGGACAGCCTGGACAGCCCTGCCAACCTGGAACTGCAGAATGCACACCAGGACAACCCATCCTTCCAGAATATACACCAGGGCAACCAGGACAACCCGGTCAATACACACCTGGTCAACCTGGAGGGCCAGGTTATCCGGGTCAACCAGGACAACCAGGAAAACCGGGTTATCCAGGGCAACCAGGTCAACCGGGAAAACCGGGTTACCAAGGATACCCAGGTATGTAGCATTTGTTCGGATAAAATTAAAAAAACTGAATAAAACAATGTTAATGATTTCCCAAATGGTTATCTTATACTTAATTAATGACTTCTCTTAAAGCTTTCAAAAGTGATAATTTTTTGTATTATGACTGCTTATAGACGGAGTAGTGGTAGTCTTAAGAAACATTTTGGATTGCTTCTTCACTTTAGTACAACCCATCTGAACCCTATTTGGGTAGCGTGTTCAGTATATGTGTGTTTGTCCCCAAATTTTAAAAGTGCTAATTCATCTTTATAGGCTTTCAAACCGTTCAGATTTTTTTTCGGTACTAATATTACTATTTCTTTTTTATCTTTCATATTAATAACTTACTACATTTGACTTTAAAATTACAATAACTGGGAAAGCAATTACACTATTCATTTAATATATATTTTCCTTTTGTTATGCTTCAATAGGTCAACCAGACTATTCAGGGCAACCAGGACAACCCGGACAACCAGGAAAACCAGGTCAACCCGGACAGCCGGGGAAACCAGGTAGACCAGGATATACTCCTGCGCAACCCGAACAAGAACAACCAGGTTATATAGGACAATCTGGTCAGCCAGAACGACCAGGACTTCCAGATCAGTCAGGATACACTCCGACACAACCGGGATATACACCTGGACAGCCAGGACAACCGGGTCAACCTGGACAACAAGGTCAACCCGGTCAGCCAGGACAACCAGGGCAACCTGGTCAGCCTGGGAAACCAGGTAGACCAGGATATACTCCNTTATAATTGTCTGAAATAAATGCAATTTTAAAGTTTTAATTATTATTTAAACATATTAAAAAGTTTTACGCTCATTATTAATGGAGACTGAAACTAAATATTTTTTTATTTCGAAGTTGAAATCAAGGCATATTCACTGCCAAAAGTCAGTTAAAAATTTTCCATATTTTTCGTTATTTCTTATTTTATTCAAAGTTTTTGCTCAAATTCCAAATTTTCTCTCAAACCGTATACTTTTTTTAGTATACCTCATGATATGCTGCAAAACCTAATTAATCACGAACTTGTACTCTTGTCTCCGATTGTACCTCCCAAACATCCTTAAGCGCGAGAATAATACATCCATAAGGGATAATCGCATCCATTTGTAGGTCGTAATCATAAGATCGTCAGTCCTAAAACCGGTTGAATACGCATCTCCACTCTTTCCTATCCTGAGCTAATCTTCGCATTTTCTTAAAACTAAAACATCGCACAACTTTAACTATTACTTACGTTTGTAGGTAAATTTATTTATTATGAAATTGTACAAAAACTACTGAATTAGTTTAATTGAGTCTTCTACACAAAGGAAGTTTAATCCAAATTACTATTTTCTTCTACCGAATGTACCTTATGGTTAAGGATAGGGTCCTCACATTAACCCGTTTATATTTGTGATTTGAAGTGTTTGCTGTAGTACAGACGTTAAACTACAATTGGTTATAAGATTTACCATGATTGATTCAAGGACTATACGAAGTATAACATTAAAAATCACTTGCTGAACTTCTTTTGGTTTGTTCAAAAATATTTCTTCCTCAGTTTTGCAATTTTACAAAGCAGCTTGCATTTGCAAGGAATTTTAACGGTAATAGAAATGTTAAGTCTCAATTAACGGCATAGTTGACATTTTTTTGAAAATTCACTGAAGGTCAGGATGCGTTAAAATCACGTATATGTCAAGGACAACCAATTGAATTGCTGTAAACGTTTAAAATTCATACCGATTAAAATACCTATTTCATGTTTTCACAAGTTTTTCTGGCATTATTTATTTGTCAAAAATTGTAATAAAAAAGTATTATAGCATATATTCATCATGCTAATTAAATATATTTTTTTTATATTCACAAATACTGAATATATTAACTAATAATAAATGGAAAATGTAAAATTATTGATGGACTTTATAAATTTTACGTTTACTTTATTTACAGATCATATATTTAACTTTGATATTTGAATTTAATATTAATCCATTATTATCTGTTTATTAAATCTGATTATGATTATATTAAAATGAACTTATTGTGAGATGCAAATCTAACTGTAAGTATAGACATTCACTGAAAAAAAAATACATGTAATTATACAACACGCTACTGAAGTGAAACTTCTTCAAACACACAAACATGCCGGGATAGGGGTTAAGGAATTGGTTTATGGTATTATTTGTACACCATGCTGTTAGTAAATATACTATTGAATGTCTTTATATACAACAATCACAGCTTTTTTGTTATTAGACAATACATACCGGCCGGTACCGCCAAAACCGCTGTGTCCCTGCATTTTAAGCCTGTAATATCTTCGAAAATATTCATTTAAATTACATACTGTAAAGGGCCATATTGATCTATATTAAATGCACAATGTATTTAAAAGTACTTAATTGGATAAGGATTAATGCTGTATTGCTTAAAATCGCTTCGTAAATAAGCCATTATTTCTCGTAAAAAGTAAAGGATAA